GTTTTTATCCCGCTACCACGAGGAAATAACTCATGGATTAACTTTTGGGATTTTTCTCGCTTTTCCCGGCACCTATTTCCCTTTGTAATTTGCTGAATTAATGAGCTCGTGTACAGGACCAGCTCTCACCCACGGAGGCGGGAACTCCCAACATCCCTGCCTCGATTTCCTTTTGGGAAGAGGGATGTGACCGAAAACAGGGACAAACCTTGGGTCATGTCCCCAAAATGCCCTAAATATGGGGCAAAGCTGCCTCTCCCTCCTGGAGARGGGCAATTCCCAGCTCCTCRCAGAGCTTTTGGGATCTGGGARGGGATTTCAGTGATCCCAGTAACCCCGGAGTGCTGGAGCTGGTGGGAGTGGTGAGACTCAGGTTTGGGGTTTTCTCTGTCATTGTCCTGGCACTTGTGGCCTTCCCCTGCGGGGTTCAGGGAATTCTGCCCCCAGGTTTGGGGAATCCTGTTCCCATATTCAGGGAATTCTGCTCCCAGATTGAGGGAATTCTGCTCCCATATTCAGAGAATTCTGCTCCCATATTTAGGAAATCCTGCTCCTATATTTGGGGAATTCTGCTCCCATATTAAAAAAAAATCTGCTCCCACATTTAGGAAATCCTGCTCCTATATTTGGGGAATTCTGCTCCCATATTCAGGGAATTCTGCTCCTATATTCAAAAAATTCTGCTCCCATATTTAGGAAATCCTGCTCCTATATTCAGGGAATTCTGCTCCCATATTCAGGAAATTCTGCTCCCAGATTGAGGGAATTCTGCTCTCAGATTCAGGGAATTCTGCTCCCAGGTTTGGGGAATCCTGCTCCCGTATTCAGGGAATTCTGGTCCCATATTCAGGGAATTCTGCTCCCGGATTGAAGGAATTCTGCTCCCAGATTGAAGGAATTCTGCCCCCAGGTTTAGGGAATCCTGCTCCTGGGCTCCTCAATGGCTGGACACTTCTCCATTGGTTAGAGTTAGGATTAGGGTTAGGTTTAGGGTGAGGTTAGGGTCGGGGTTAGGGTTCGGGTTTTGTTAGGATTAGGGTTTCGTTAGAGTTAGGGTTAGTGTCCCTGGTGTTGGAGATGCACTGAAGCCCAAACTCAGGCATTTTTTTGGGCACAGTCCCTCCCTGCTGGCAGAAGAAATGGTTTCCAGGCTCACAGGTGACGTTGGTGATCACCAGACACCGTCCAAAGCTGTCACCCTGCGGCAGGACAGGAATTTCACTCACACCATCCCAATTCCCCCATCAGCAGCACAAAACCATCCGTGATCGTCCCCCAGGAACTTCCACTGCTGCTGCAGAGCACACATTCTGCTCCTTCCATCTCAGCTCCAGGCTGTCCCCAAATGCGGCACAATTGTCACTCGAGCTCTGGYTCCTGTACCAGCTTCCAGGATGGTTTGAATTTTCCTGCAGCACCTTTGGAGAGAGCTTTGCTCAGCCTACAAACAAAAATACACATCTGAATAAACTCCTTTTATCTTCTGGGCCCAAGAGGGGTGCTCAGCTGGGTTTGGAGGGATTTGGGGTGGCAAAGTCACCCCTGCASCCCGAGGAGGCTCTGGAGCAGTCCCAAAGGAGCAGCACAGTGCGGGTGGATCTCGTGTCTCTGCCCGCGGGYCRGGGCTGTCCTGCTCGGATCTGCTCCGTGATTAATTCATTGATAACCAACCTCAGATCTGTCACCGGGGACGACTAGGCAAATGGATTTTCTGCCCAGGCTAGTCGGGGAATTGCACACGGGATTGCTGTAAGCGCCCCAAATCGCCCCAAATCGCCCCGCTCTGAGCCAGCCCCAGTCTGCAGCGAGTTGGGTTTGTCCTGGCTGAGGTGTTGGAGGTTTCTGGGACAGCACAGAGCTGTCAATCCCTGCTTTTCTCCCCCCATTCCCAGCCGCTGCCTGGAATTGCTGCAGAAGCCAAGGAAGTGGCAGCATTCCCGGGAGCCCKGTGCACACCCAGCCCGGGTGGGGAAACACGGGAAGAGCAGCGAGCTCTTACTTCATTATGTAAATGACCGAGGACATGAAAGGATTCCTCGCTTTCCTTTTTTTCCTTTTGGTAACCGAAACCACGCCCAGGACGGGTCAGCCAAGTGCCAGGGGGAAAGAAAGAGATGTGGGTTAGAGGGGAGGGGAGGGAGGGGCTGGGATGGGGCAGGAATAGGAGGGACATGGTGGAATCATGGAGGATCAGAGTGGAGATGATGGAATGGTGAAGGAACAGGGTGGAGATGATGGAATGGTGAAGGATGAGGAGGGAGATGATGGAATGGTGAAGGAACAGGAGGGAGATGATGGAATGGTTGAAGGAACAGGAGGGAGATGGTGGAATGGTGAAGGAACAGGAGGAAGATGGTGGAATCATGGAGGAACAGGAGGGAGATGCTGGAATGGTGAAGGAACAGGAGGGAGATGATGGAATGGCGCAGGAACAGGAGGGAGATGATGGAATGATACAGGAGCAGGAGGGAGATGATGGAATGGTGAAGGAACAGGAGGAGATGATGGAATGGTGAAGGAACAGGAGGAGATGATGGAATGGTGCAGGACCAGGAGGGATGTGCTGTTTTTCAGGGTCCAGGGCCTGCACCTCTGTGTGGTTCTGGCCGTGTCCCTCAGCCCCTCTGTCCCATCACTGACCTGTGGCAAAGCAGAGGAAACAGCAGAACCCTCACCACCAGGGCAAGGAGAAAAACCACATCAGAATGGGGGATAACCCAGAAAATATTTAATTTTTGATTTTTACTCTCTGAAATTTTGGTTCTTCCTCTCTGTGATGGAGCACCCCAAGTGCTGGATGTGGGGATGCCCMAAAGCCTCTCATTCCAGAGCAAAAGGGGTGGAATCAGCAGGGACCTTACAGAAAATCTCATGTCCCAAGGKCAGGGWCAYCTTCCCCTATCCCACTTTGCTCCAAACCYGGCCTTGGACACCTCCAGGGATCCAGGAGCAGCCACAGCTCCTCTGGGCRCCCTSTGCCAGGGCCTCMYCACCCTCACASGGCAGAATKTCTTCCCAAAATCCWTYTTTTCCCACCCTCTGGCAGTTCCAAGCCATCAGCACAAACCCTGATGGAATCAAATCACCCCAGCCTGGCTTTCCCCGGGCTCCCATCGACCTGGCAGCCACAGCAACACGAAAACACCCTCAATGAAACCACAAATCATCCTCCTTTGCTCTGGGAAGGAAGAGGGAAAGGAGGAACAGGGATTTCTGCAACTCAGCAGTGTGACGCTGCGGATGAGCTCAGTGAAATGGGAAGTGATTCCCCCGGGCGCTGTCGGGATGGGTGAAGCTTTCGGGCACCGCGGAGCTGGGAGTGGAGCAGAGAGAGTCAGGACGGATTCCAGGCAGCTCCCAGCTAACGGGGGAGGGCTCCTCCCTCGGGATTTCAGGGCGGGCACGTTGGGACAGGGCGCACCCGGAGTTACGGCCCAAAAACCCCAAACAGTGGGCAGGGCTGTGAGTCAGCTGCCCCGGCGCTCAGGAATTCAAACCCAGCGTTAATTTATCTGAGGAATCATTSGTGCAGAGTCCGTGATGGGCAGAGCAGCCCCACATCACCCAGGAACCGGAGGGGATGAGCGGGGAGCAGAGGAAACATCCCCGRGACAGCGGGGAAAGAATCCCGGAGGAAGGAGCCTTTCGAGCTGCCGGGGCGATGCTGGGACCCCCAAATGCTGCTGCGACCCGGCACCGCCACTCATA